TTGAAAGTATTGGCTAATGTGGCCCATCTGTGGCTTGAAACTATTGTCTAATGAGGTTGGACCACGTTAAAACTCTCCCTGTTTGACCTACACCTAAAAAAGTTATATATATATATATATATATTTATCTTAATTATTTTTTTTATAAAAAATATAAAAAGTAAAAAACAAAATCCAAAAAATTCAAAACAAAAAAAACAAAAAAGCCAAAAAAAAGTTAAAAAAATGTTTGGTTTTCAATTTTCAAAATCAGTTTTCTAAGTTTTCAATTCGTATTTTTATATTTTTAATTTTTTAAAGTATAAAAAAAAATTTTGAAAAGTACAAATGTTGTACAAAAATATTTAAAAAATTCATTGTATTCAAAAAAATACGAAAATGTATTAAATTTTCATATTTTTTAAATATTTTTTGTATTTGGTGAATTTTTTTTAAATTTTTTTTTACAAATATTATACTTTTTAAGCGTATTTAGATTATGTGTATTTAAAAAATAAAAAATTTGTGTAAAATATTAACAAAATTCACTAAAAATAAAAAAAATATATGAAAAATAAAAAATTCAATTTTTTGAAGTTGACTCAATTTTTTAGAATCAAACATGGTGAATTTTTTTTTTTTTTTTTAATTTTCAAAATTTTCTTTTATTTTTTGAGTCTATCTAGTTAAGTATATATGTAACGCCCTAAAATAAATGCCATAAATCCATTCAAGACCATATGTAAATAACAATATGAATCGGAGTATAATATTCTTTCATTTCATGAGAGTTAATAGAGTTTAACTAAATAAATGGCCTAGAAGCTTACATCTTTCCAAGATCATGCATGGTTACAACAAAAGTAGATATAAATCCAATACATATAAAGCCCTTGGCTTGAATCAAAATAATAACATAATACACAAAAGAGAAGCCTTTGCTCCAAATCCCTCCAAGCTACTGTCTTGGCGGAGACATATTACCGGCACCTGAAAATGATTTTTCCCAAATATGATGAGGCAAAGTCCAGTAGGTACAATCTAACACAATATATGAGTTTTAACAAACATATAAGTATGATATGCATATCCAATACCCATGATAAAATCATTTATAACTTTTTCATAAAACCATGCCATGTCAAGCTTCATATCTCAATTCATAAGCCATTCACCATTTCATTCAGACAACCAAACTGAGGGTACAACTCAGTGGGTCTCTAATCAACCCAGTCATTATACAAATACTTCCATTTTACTATCACTACAAGAAAATGCATGATTGGCGACTAAAATTGGCGACCAAACCATTTTTAGTCGCCAAAAACACCACATTGAGCGACTAAAAACAGCTTTAGTCGGCATTGATTGAACCTTTTTAGTTACTAAAGTATTTTAGTCGCCATATAGTATAATTGGCGACCAAATTTCCCTTTCGTCGCTGTTTGCTACAAATTTAGGCTACTAACATTTAATTTTGTCGCCGTATAGTATCATTTGGCGACTAAAAACTTTTGTCGCCTGAAAATGGGCATTTTGGTGATTACTTTTTGCGACCAAATCTGGGTTAGCCGTTGTTTATTCAGTATTGCCGACAATTTTTTTAATTTAGTAGCCAAAGAGGCATCTTTAGGCGACCAATTGTTTGTCGCCGTTAAGGTTTTTGGCGACAAATAATCTTTTAGTCACGAAATGTTCGAAATTTTTTTTAGAGGGAAAATAAGTAATTTTCGCGCTCAGTACATATATATTACACAGAGTTTTTTGTTCTCTTCTATCTCACACACCGACATCAACATACCAAACTCGTCCCTACCAAACCCGTCACTTACCACCAGCGATCATCACCATCGCAGGCCACCGGCGCTCGCCACCACCACCACTGCAAATCAGCGATCATCACCACCGGCGATCATCACCATCATGTTTCTGTCGTCTCTTTCCTTCTCTGTCGATCTGGTTCTATCTGGTTCTATCTGTTTGTCGATGTCTCTCACATCCCCTTCTCTCACGATTAATTTTAGGGTTTGACATTTTTTGTCCTTTCATTTTCCATTTATTTCGTACACAAATTTTTAGGGCTTTTCCTGATTTCATGAATGGGTGTGGTTGAAATTGCGGATTGTCCATTTGGATTTTGGATTGTGGATTTGGATTGTTGATTTTGGATTCTTTTTGTATTGTTTAAATGTGCCTCTGTTTCTGCGAAAATGTTCCAAATGTGCCTCTGTTTTTTCTCCCTTTCAGGTTTTACCATGCTTATGACAACTATATGACTTATGCTTTTCCAGTCAGTTCTACTTCCCACTATATGATATATTATTTATATTTGATGAATATTATGAAGTTGTGGTCTATTGGTTCTGTACCATGATGAACTAAAGCCTCTAGCCAAAACATTCACCGACTCCCTTGTCGAGCTGGGAAATTTGAAGGTAATTATTTATTTTTGAAATCTTTTGCAGTGTTCAGCTTTAAATGGATAATTTAAAATACCTACTGTTTCAAATTTTAGCTCGAACATTTGCCACAAGAGTATCATGGATCTGCCCTCACACTTGTAGAATCGCTATCCAGGTATGATATACTCTTTTTTAGAGACAACGTTCTTAAAAATCAATGTAGTTGTATTTTTATCTTATATGCCCTTCTTATGCTGTCACCAAATATCTTTTTATTTCATTTCATTTCCATATTATTACTGATTATGCCACTGAAGTATTTGTAACAGAGTATTATGTTAATACTGTTTTTGTTTCTCAGCCTTGTTATCATGGGGAACAACATAGAATTTGAAAGGGCTATTCTTTGGCTTTCTGCAAAATCTAACTTTTGATGTTGATGCGAGGATAAATCTTTTTGAGGTATTTTAATTTTTTTCATTTAGGATTTAGTGAAGTTGTTTGACTCAAAGTTTCATTTAATGTGGCCTCAGTTTGTTAATGAAATAAAGCTTGAGCAATGTCGCTTTTTCTTTTTCTTTTGTTTTATTCTTTAGTAGGGAGTGCTAAATCAAGTTGCATTTGAAGTATCAGATTGTGTTTAATGGTGTTTTCACTGTTGTGTACTGCAACATAAGAGTTCTTGGAGGACTTGTTTCTGCTCATATTCTTGTAATTGATTCTACAAACAGGTTGGTCCAAAGAAATTATAAGAATCAACTTCTTATCCTGGCTGAAGATTTAGGGCGGCACTTTCTACCTGCTTTTCATACCCCCACTAGATTGCCATATGCATGGATTAACTTGAAGGTACTTCTTATATCATGCTTAAGTTATAAGACAAATTCCAATTCCCCAATTGTTTACAAATTGTGATGTATCCAAGATGTTTTATTTAACCTGGTAAAGTAGCTTTGAATTTTTTGTATCTCTTCTGAATCATCAATGGTGCTTTGCATTTGCTGTAGTAGTATGGTTTCAAATGTTTACATTGTGTTAGCATTAATGTTTGGGAATTTTGTAGTGTATACTATGTGGAACTCATGCCATATTGACTGTACGATGATATTTCCATTGTGTTGCCGTTATTTGTCACACTTAAGTATCTTATCAACATCACTTATATATTCATAAGTTTTTACCCCTCTTCTCTTGCAAAAACTTGAGGTTTACACTGAGGTTGATTTCTATAGTTGAAAATAATTTCTTTAAAAGTCAGCCTCAGTTGAGAAATCTGTGGCCACCACATAAGAAATTAGGATTACAAAGTGTGATTAATCAATAGCCTAAATACTCTCACATCTTTCTACTGCAAACCTTTGGAACTCCATAGAAACAATAGAGGATAATCTGCTCAATATGATGATTAAAGAACATGGTCGTCCTTTCACGCATAATTCGTTGAAAACAGATGAAAAATAATCTCTCTGATCTCCTAGGATAGCTGTACCCTTTCAACCATACCGTTGATTTTGAAAGCACCTAACTTGACAACTAAGTTGCACAAGAAGTTGCACTATCTTACTGTAGAATGGGGACAATAATAGAATGGCAATGGCCAATGTAAGGCACCAAACCATATTCTAACTACATTTCATTTGTCTAGGCCCTCAATAGGCTTGGTGTGATACCCCTGTTCTGTGTTACGCTAATTGGCCCTTAATTTGTTTATGGGTATGTGTTTAGCATGATTTTGTGTGCCATTATGTGAATATATATATATATATATGATTTTGAAGTTTTATCTGTTCGTCGTAGGAATATCTGTTTGAATAGCCTGCTTTGGAAATTAAATTGAGGGCCTTATCGGCCACAGAACCCGAAATTGATTACGCCATTGTGTTCGGCATAATTTTTAGAGCCTACGGTGAAATTTAATTGAAAAATTGATTTGGACCAGATTAAGTTGGTAAAATGGGTGCCCAATTACTCCCTACTATTATATTATGACTTAGTGGGGCTTGTTGTATATGAGCACTACTCAATTAAACTCCCTCTCTAATCCTCACTTGGCTGATATACGCTCTAAGGAGGAGAGGGCCGGCCATTAGAGAGAGAGAAGAGAGAAAAATCTGTGTTTGATCTTGAGGGCTTGGAATCTTGAAGTCCAACTCAAATTGGACCATAGATTGAAGAATTGGACTTCTAGGTAAGCCATTGACTCTTGAAATTATGAATTGAACTTGTAATCTTGTGAGTTCAAGAGTTGTTTGTAATCAAGAGCATGTAATAAGTTGATTTTTGTTGAGTTTGAAGTCTTAGAACTCATGCATGTAAGAAATTACTTTGAACTTGCATGTTTGAGCTTGAAACACATGATCCATGTAGAGTTTTGGTTAAAGCTCATGTTGTAATCGCCATTTGTACCATCTGAGTTGGGAATGATGAGCATCTCCCACATGCATGTACAAATCATGGAAGTATAAGTCTTGAATGTTTGAATTTGAGCATGTTGATGATGGGTTTGAGATATTTTGGGACATGCATGTACATGAAATGGTTACATTGGTAATGAGTTGGTGGAAAATGAGCCATGCATGTAAATAAATTATGAAATTGAGCTTCAATATGTTGTAATTCTATGTTTGTACCATGTTAGTATATGATTATGTGAAATTTGGTCCGAAATCATGCATTTAGAGCCTTTGAATGTCAAGATGAAGCTCAAGAACTCAATCTGGAAAACCCAGATTTTCGATGTACGCTCGAGCGGGTGAAGTTATGCTCGAGCGGAGAAATCGAGCTCCCAGCATTTTCTGCAGATGTGGTGTTCGCTCGAGCGGGGAAGTTTACGCTCGAGCAGGGAGCTGTGTAGGCAGGCAGTCCGCTCGAGCGGCCTAGTTCACGCTCGAGCTGGAATAGAAGGCAACCAGTACTTTCGCAGACTTAAGGGTCCGCTCGAGCGGGTAAGTCCCCGCTCGAGCGGGGACCCTATTTTCTGAAATCCTATTTTTTTTTTGCATTTTGTGTTCTGTTTTCCGTTCTCTTTCACTCGCAAGCACTCTTAGGCATATGTTAAGCATTGTAAATGAGTTAATGAGATAATAATAAAGCCTAAAGAGGAATATGTGAATTAAGGGACGGATTGAATTGTTAATGACCCTTTTGTGTGCATGGAATGTGTAGGGTCAAGCTCCAGGGCGAATCCACAAGCCGATCATTGTGAGTAATATCAATATTCGAAAGCTTGTCAATGTCCAATTGTTTATTCCCTTATAAACTTTATGAGTTGTTAATTGGGATTGTGGACAAAAGTCTGACAGGAATGAATGAATGGACCAAAGGTCGTTCTGAAGGTCGTTTTGATATAAATGAATGGACCGAAGGTCGTTTTGATGTGAATGAATGGACCGAAGGTCGTTTTGATGTGAACGAATGGACCAAAGGTCGTCCCGATATAAATGAATGGACCAAAGGTCGTCCTGATGTAAATGAATAGACCAAAGGTCGTTTTGACACATGTGAGTGGGCCGAAGGCCGTTTTGACATGAACGAGTGGGCCAAAGGCCGTTTTGACATAAAGGAATGGGCCAAAGGCCATTTTGACAGAAATGAATGGGCCGAAGGCCGTTTCGACATAAATGAATGGGCCGAAGGCCGTTTTGACATGAATGAATGGGCCGAAGGCCGTTTAAAAAAAAAAACAAAAATACAAAAAAAAAATAAAAAAAAAAATTGTTCTTGCATATTTGAGCTTGAAACACATGATTCATGTAGAGTTTTGGTTAAAGCTCAGTTGTAATCACCATTTGTACCATCTAAGTTGAGAATGATGAGCATCTCCCACATGCATGTACAAATCATGGAGTATAAGTCTTGGATGTTTGAATTTGAGCATGTTGATGATGGGTTTGAGATATTTTGGGACATGCATGTAGATAAATCATGAAATTGAGCTTCCTGATGTTATAATCTTGTATTAGTAGCATGTTAGCATGTGTAAAAGTGTAATTTGAGCCATTGCATGCAAGTAATGTAGCTGGAAAACCGATTTGGAAGCTCAAGAACACAATCTAGGGAAACCCAGAATTTTGATGTCCGCTCGAGCGGGTAATGGCCGCTCGAGCGAGAAAATCTGCTCCCAGCACTTTTGCGGAGTTGGACGTCCGCTCGAGCGCGGAAACCTCACGCTCGAGCGTGGAGTTTGTAGACAGGCCTTCAGCTGGAGCGCTCTATTACACGCTCGAGCGCATTTTTCAGAGCAACCAGTACTTTTGCAGGCCTTAAGGGTCCGCTCGAGCGGCTAAGTACACGCTCGAGCGGGGACCCTAATTTCTGGAATTTTGTTCATGCGTTCTGTGTTTCGTTTTCCGTTCTCTTTCACTTGTAATCACTCTTAGGCGTGTGTTAAACATTATAAATGAGTTAATGAGATAAGAATAAAGCCTAAAGAGGAATATGTGAATTAAGGGACGGATTGAATTGTTAATGACCCTTTTGCATGCATGGAATGTGTAGGGTCGAGCTCCAGGGCGAATCCACAAGCCGATCACTGTGAGTAATATCAATATTCAAAAGACTTGTCAATGTCCAATTGTTTATTCCCTTATAAAACTTTATGAGTTGTTAATTGGGATTGTGGACAAAAGTCTGACAGGAATGAATGAATGGAACCAAAGGTCGTTTTGATGTGAACGAAGTGCGACCAAAGGTCGTCCTGATATAAATGAATGGACCAAAGGTCGCCTG